CCGTCCGTCCGTCTGTCCGTTTCTACGCGAACTAGTCCCTCAGTTTTAAAGCTATCTGAATGAAACTTTGCATATAGTCTTCTATATACTCTCACTGCTATATATGTCGGAACGGGCCGGATCGGACGACTATATCATTTAGCTCCCAAACAAATGTTCGATAAATTTTTAGAAAAAAATTATAACTTTGCTGTTTTTCAATATTTTTGCATCATTTTTGAGATATAGCCATTCTATATTATTTCAGAATTTTGGTAAAAATTTTATGAAAATCGGACGACTATATCTTATAGCTGCCATAGGAACAATCGGCAAATGAATAGGAAAAAAATTATAACTTCGTTGTTTTCCAACATATTCTTATCTACTTTTAGATATAAGCTTTTTTTATTATTTCAGAATTTTGGTAAAAATTTTATGAAAATCGAACAACTATATCATATAGCTGCCATATAAACGATCGGTAAATGTAGAGAAAATGTAAAGCTGGGAATGTAAAACTGTAACTGTCAAACTGTAAACATAATAAGTATAGGTAAAATGTAATGAAACTCTGTTTTGTGTGTGTTTTCAGCATTTATATCTATAATATAAACATCAAAACCAATCTGCAAGGGTATACAAACTTCGGCGTGCCGAAGTTAGCTTCCTTTCTTGTTATACCCTTGCAGGGTATTATAATTTCAGTCAGAAGTTTGCAACGCAGTGAAGGAGACGTTTCCGACCCTATAAAGTATATATATTCTTGATCAGCATCAACAGCCGAGTCGATCTAGCCATGTCCGTCTGTCCGTCTGTCCATCTGTCCGTCTGTCCGTCTGTCCGTCTGTCTGTTTCTACGCAAACTAGTCCCTCAGTTTTAAAGCTATCTGAATGAAACTTTGCATATAGTCTTCTATATACTCTCACTGCTATATATGTCGGAACGGGCCGGATCGGACGACTATATCATATAGCTGTCATACAAATGTTCGATAAATTTTTAGAAAAAAATTATAACTTGGCTGTTTTTCAATATTTTTGCATCATTTTTGAGATATAGCCATTTTATATTATTACAGAATTTTGGTAAAAATTTTATGAAAATCGGACAACTATATCATATAGCTGTCATATAAACGATCTGTAAATGTGGAGAAAATGTAAAGCTGGGAATGTAAAACCTTAACTGTCAAACTGTAAACATAATAAGTAAAAGTAAAATGTAATGAAACTCTGTTTTGTGAGTGTTTTCAGCATTTAAATTTATAATATAAACATCAAAACCAATCTGCAAGGGTATACAAACTTCGGTGTGCCGAAGTTAGCTTCCCTTCTTGTTTTATTATACCATATAGCATATATTTTTCTTTCTGTACCTAAATGTGTACACAGTGTACATGTACATGCCTCATATCATCGACCTTCAGCATATTTGCACCATATTAATGAACTGGCAAAGCCCGCATCGCGTATCCGCCCCATTTGCCCCCGCATTCATTATGATTCACTCTCGGTTTTGCTATTCAGGCATCGTTTCTCTCCTGAATGCGATATAAAATGCGAAATAAATACATATTCCCTACACAAGCGTCTCGTATAAAAGCATTGCCACTTAGCGGCAGCAGGTTATACAAATTGAATCAAAAAGAAATTGTTTACAATTTATGCCTGCTTTCAAATCACGGGCAGCACGGAGAGAATGAAATACAAATTCTATTCAAATGGATGTCATGTGTATGTGGGTGTGTGACCCAGTGTGTGATTGTGTGGAAATTCGCAACATTTTAACCCCTCACGTGCCAGGAATGAATTCACACACAGTATGTGTAGTATGTGTTTGTGCGACCAAGGCATCGGAATTGTCCTCACGTCTAGACATAATTTCTTCAATCATTTATTACCTAATTAAGTGGAAGTATAAATGCCGAACTCAGCATGCCACTGGGCGTGGCAGGTCAAAGGGGAGGCAGGCAGGCAGCAGGCAGAACGGAGCTCGTGTTATTTTCATTCTCTTCTGGGCCACCGCCTTTTGTATGCGAATTAACTGGCAAAATTCCAATGATTGACCTTAGTCTTTGTTGTTCGAGCCGGGGTGTGCTTCTGCTGCCGGTGGCTGTGGGTGTGTGGCTGGGTGGAGTGCATTCGAGTGGTTCCCAGGGAACTTGAGTTTAAGCCATGAAACGGCGTTGCCTTGAGCAAGTGTCTTTGTCTTCGGCTCATCTTTTGTTCCATGTGCCTCCCCCTCTGCCACATATAAAGGCATTGTGTGGTTGGCTTTTCTTTTCAGCCAGTTCATTTTGCTTTTCTGCTGCCGCCTTTTTGCCCTTGTTTGTTGTTTTGTGTGTGTGTGTGTTTGTTTGCTTGCCGCTCAAGAAGGACTTCTCCTTATGGCACTGTCTTTGTAGTTTGCGCCCCTATAGTATCAACCAGGACACTCCCTGGCATTGTATTGTATTGTATCCGCGGCTTTGTTCCCTTCGATAGTGTCACATACTTAGTTGCCGATCGCTCGAAGGCGTTTTGGGGGTCAATAATAAAGTGCGCATCGCGAGTCATGTGACCCAGAAAGAATCGAACTGAACAGTTGAAGAAAAAGGTAAAATTATAGGATATTTCATTCATTTCAAAAGTAAAATAAAGGGACATCAAATGGTAATGTAAATCACTTGGGTTTTGAAATCTCCTAAAAGAGTGTATAAAAGTATGCAATGCAATTTTAAAAATACAAAAGCAAAAGTTTTTTTTACCTTTTAGTATTATAAAGTCAAAGATAATTAAAAGAACAAGTAAGACTAATTAACTAAAATCCCAAAGATTTGGAAATATCCTAAAACGATAAATCAGTTTGCTTAATCACTTTAAAATATACAACTTTTAGGCTTAATTTAAATCATTCTGTCTGTGAAATTACTTAGTTTTAAGTTCTTATAAGACCTCAGACTCAGTAGAGATTTAAAAACTTTTTCTCTATTTATTTAAAATTTTTACTTACCCATTTAATATTACCAACTTCCCAAATGAAGAATCACAATCTTTACTGTCTTTGTTGTTATTTCGTTTTTCTTTATTTTTAGCTGTTTTTCTTTTTGTTTGTTTCACTTACATTGTTCTTGTTTGTTGTTTTCATTACAAATATGCCATTCGCTTTAATTCATAGTGTTTTTTTATATTTAATTTTAACGTTATCCATGTACCTCAATTCGGTTGTTTTTGTATACGCTAACATAAAGCCCACATACTTACATACACACCCTCGTATGCACCCTAACATATCGTATATTTATTTATATATATTTACCGTTTACTGCTTAGGTTCCAACTTACAGCTTTAAACTTGAAGTGCGGCGCCTCTCTTGAATTCCCCATGCATAATTTTCATAGTTTTCCCCTCCGCCTTATGTTTATTTGCTATTATGCCTTTGTGATTTTGCTATCCTGGAATTTATACGTATCCTTGCTACAGATTGCTATTTGAGTATGCTGGTTTTCCTTTTTGCCCTTTTTGCCTGCTTTTTACATTAATGCGACGACTATTTTGTAATTTTCTTTCATTTCCCTTTCGGTTTTCATCATTCTTTAACGGTACTTTACATTGTAGCTACGCTTTGTCCGCACCCAGTGCGTGCGAGTGATGGATGGAGAGGGGATGTGGGTCGGGATAAGGATGGGATGAAACAATACACTCGCCTTGTCCTGTCACTGATATGGTCCGAAACTATATAACGACTTAGTTGCTGCTTCAGTTGGCCATAAAACGATGCGGATTGGATAGCAAATGAACTGAATTTCAATAGCCCGAACAATTTCCACTAATTTCCCCTACATTCTAAGGACACACGAGCTGCTCGATAGGTTAGTTTTGCCTTAAATTCGTCTAATATTTAGCTAGATGATTTATTCTCAAGCAGGTTTTCCCAATAGAAATAGACTTTACATACTTTCTGCTCTTGTTGTTTAGGTTTAAGTTAAAGCGTTGCTTTCTCTAGACACTATTAAAGTAGTTTTCAATGCTCTCTAACGTTTATAACTTTATGCATACGTATATTTAATAATTAATATATATTTCTATTTATTTTGGGTATATTTTTTTGACTTAGATATGCTGCGGTTAGTTCGTAATTCGTGTCAACAGTGTTATAATTTGCAAGGATATTCGATAGAGTGATATTAGGTTTAGTCCTCGGTGTGTATATTACATAACCTTTTTGTCTAACAGAAGCGCAGGCTTGGGGTTTTGCCAGATATCGTATAGGTATAGGTAATTCGTATATATATATATTCTTTTTTTTTTTCTGTGTGTATAAACATAATACATATCGCCGAGTATATGCATTAAGGAAGACATTTTTTCATGATTGTGACCATTCTCAATACGTGCACATTTTACACTGCTACAAAGTTCCTTTTTCTTTTGTTCAAAATGGTCAAGCTTAGGCTTAATGTGTGTGTGTGTGTGTGTGTGTGTGTGTGTGTCTGTATGCATCAAACACTCTATCAATATTCATAGATATTCCATTCACTCAGGTGTTGTTTTTTCCTTCTCCTACTATTTACAATAGTTTCTAGTTTACTCCTTTGCTTTTTACATATTTTCTTTAAGGCTCAACTGAAGTCTCGTTCCATATACATTTAAACTTAGCTTTTTTGTTACTAACTTGAATTGAGATCTCGTACCATATTCCATAGGGTTGTTGTTGTATATCGTTGTAAATATTATGTATAGTCATTGTTTTTTTAATTGGTATAAAGAATTATGTACAAAAGATTCGAGAAGAAACTTCGTGTAAAACTCGTTTAGGTGTTCATATTGATATGTACTGTTAGTATTTAATTACGTCAATTGAGGAGTCCAAAGTGGTAGTTGGTAGGAGTATGTACAGCGAACTGAACAGATAGTATATAGTATATAGCAATGAAACCTGTTGAAACGAGGCGAGGTGGCTGCCCGGCGAACAATCGAAATGCTGAACGCATAATTGATAATGAAACCGTAATTGTTTTCGCGCCTTCGAAACGAAAAACTATGAAATAATTTAACAATAACGATTTGCATAAGAGTGTTAAGCGAGTGACTGACCCGGCATAAGGCCAGGCCGTATTAAAATGTAATTAAAAATCAAGAGAGAAAGCCGGGATGCACGTTAAGGCATTTATTATTTTCCTTTATTAATGCAGGCAGCCAAGGACTCGATAGAGCTCAAACAGCAAACAATAAGTGGGTCTTAATTCTTGTGTGTCAAGGGTGTGTGTGTGTACAATGTATTGTTTTTTGTATAAAACTCTAGCTACGGATAGTACTTAATGCTGATACCTGCTCTATATACATACACCTCAAATCCAACTATCGAGTTTGCCTTCCGCTATTTGCTAACAGTATTATTATGTAGACAGCAGTTTCCGTTTTCACATTAAATGATAGATTAATGTAGTTGAGTTCTATATATGCATATGTCCTATATAAGTTTCTGTATATCCCATACGTTCGTATCAAAAGGGACAGCAACATCATCGTCAAGGGTCAACAACAAAGCTTTACAATAATCGCAGCTAAAGCACAGAACTAGCTCCTAAATGTATACAACACAGTATTACGATTATGCGCCTAAGTAAGAGTATCCACCATATCATTATAGTTTATAGTTATAGCTATCGTTCTCCATCCGCTTCCGATGATGAGTATGAGTATGAGTATGTTTTTCCCCCCACGAGTATCTACTACGTACAGTTATGCAATTGTCCTGGCCCTTAATCCTTCAGCTATGCGGCTGTCATGTCCAAGCCACATCGCTCACACACAGCGCTGTCCAGCTGGAGAAGTAAGCGGCCACCGCCAGCATCATCACATAGAGCAGCCGGTGGCAGCCACCGACGGTACCGTGTCCACTACGGGCCGCCGCACTCGTGCTCTCCGGCCAAATGACCTCGACTTCGGACATTTTGAAAATGCTCAGCAGTCGGTGGGATTGGAGCTCGCTGTGCTCGCTATTGATTTGATGACTGATGGTCTTCAGTATCGCGGTGCACTCGTCCTGCAAGCAGACAGATAAGCAGCCATAGTCGTCGATTGGATTATTTGGGGAAATTGATTTTAGTAAATCGGTGTATGCACAGAGAGAAAATCAGGCAAAGCTAAATTTGGAAAGCTTTCCAAGCTAATTTAATTTTAAATGTAAACTGGTTCTAAAAAGACAACCAATTAGTTTAGTTTTTTGAATATTAATGCTTCTTTAATAAGTTTACTGATTAATTATTTGATTCTTTGTAATGAAATTTCTCTCTCTGCATTTGTATAAGGTGCCTTGAGGCATCTCAACGAACCTTCTCCTTGCGCAGCAGCTCAATATCCTTCAGTTTGCCATCATGCGGCAGACGCGCAGCAATGATTATGTTCTCCTCGGTCATATTGAACAGCGTGAGGGTGCACTGCGTCTGGATGGATAGAGAGTAAGAGAGAGAGAGGTGATGGAATGCAATTAATATATATTGCCCGGACATACTTTACTATGCGTTCGCTCGACCGTAGCGAACCGGCGGCAATGGCGGCTTACCTGATTATCGATGTATGTGGTTACGTACTGCTGCAAGGCACGCACGGCATCCTGCACCCCGAGGTTCGTGTGAGGACGCAGCAGCGCCTCGTCGGCGGCACTGTAGCCCAAAAGCAGGAACACCCCACCTGCAAACAGAGAGAGAGAAAGAGAGGACGAAAAATGTAGCGAATGCCACATCAATTGCAGCAAACGTAATTTACTGCGGAATCCGCGCACAAAAACGCACGCAAGTGCCAGTGCCATGTGGTGGCAAGTGGCAAGTGGACAAGAGCCACGCAACCTTGCTGCTGCCACAATGGTTCCTTTTTCTGTGTCAAATATGCTCTCTCTCAAGTGGCTCCTCAGTGCCCGAGGAGGTGTCCTGACAAAAGGCCTTAAAGCCACAGCCACGAGATGTCCTTGCAGTATTTTCTATTTTAAATTTTTGCAGTTTAAGGAGAACACGGGGTTTTAAATCCTTTTAAAATGTGTCTAATAGTATGCAATAGATATTTTTGTTATTTTTCAATAGATGTATAATTTTGAAGCATACTTTTTGACACAATTTTAAGAGTTTTGAAACCCCTTAATTATTTTATTTGTATTTTTTTATAATTATTAAAAAATACAAAGTAAAATCTAACTTTACTTCCATCTCACATAATATTTTCTCAACCTAAAAACTTGGCTTAAATTCTTCAAGTGCGAATTCTCTTCGGGCTTCCTTAACTTGCGCCACACACACAAAAATGCAGCTGCATTCCACCTGACAACCCCGCCTCGTCATTGCCTGTCGCCGGCGATAATCGCTAAGTGCTTAACGCACAGCGAACCCGACACGCCAACGTAATACCGCAGGAGGGCAGCCAAGTAAGAGGCAGGAGGATGGACAGCAAGGATGGCAAGGATATGTAGCCCAACTTACCTGGCAGAATGTACTCCCCAAGCGGCGGCTTCATGCAGATGAAGCGGCCCGAGTAGCAGAGGCAGCGACCGCGGAACGCCTGGTAGGCGGGCGAGGCGTGGCTGTAGAAGGCGAGGGCGGTGCGGCAGGGGGCGAAGGGCACGCAGAGGGCGTGGCAGGTGAGGGTGAGGGAGTCGCCGCAGCTGCACAGCTCGCTGCACTCCACATCGTCCAAGGAGTAGATCTGAAAAGGCAGAAAAAAGTAAGAATAGAGAAAGGCATTAAATTGCATTGTGCGGCTACATTACGTATACGCCCGGTGTGGCCATAATTAAATGATGGCACAAACAAAAACCTTTAACTTTTCCACATATATATGTATGTGTGTATTTTATGATTTCCCTTTTTTCCCCAGCACGTGCCGACACGTGCAGGCTGCCGTATATATTTTCGTATTTTTCACTTTTAGCCAAGTAGCCATTTTTCTCCGGCTAAACTTTTAGTTATGTAAATGCGCTAAAAAGCACTTTCTGAACAAATCCCGGCCGAAATATGAATGAAATATTAATTTGCACTTAAATTTGGACTTCATCTAAGTTTTTCTGATAAGTAAAAACCATTTTCGGCAGCTTATATTAAAATTATCTCGACTTGAGGCTTTTGATTTGGTCTAATATTTACTCACCCGCTTGCTGCTGCCCTCACGAATTAGTTGATCCGATTGGCGAGGTCGTTGCACCACACAGTTTCCTGCAAATAAAATTGTTTTCAATTTCCAGAGCCACTTCATAATTGATGGAAAAATTCATTAAACCAATTTGTCGACACTGAAAGTTCTGCCGTAAACCAGTTTAACACCTTTGATTAAACTTAATTTCCAACCGACGCGTCGGACAATGTTGACTATTCCACTCATGTTTTTGTGGCTTTAAGTGCTTTGCCGCCTATGTGGAGACGGACACAAACACAAACCCTTTCACCCAACCCTACCCACTCGTGCCCCAAAATAACGGATGTCCGCCACTCATGTGGGGCATTCATCATGTCATCAACGCCATTACGACTTTTTCCTGGGCCCCTGAAAAGTTTCTCCCGGGCTTTGCGCGTGTGTTTATGTAGCACAAATTTGCACACTCGAGACCGTGACCTGACTTTTGCACTTAATTACCAGCAATGGGAACTTTAAGCTGCCAAGATGTGACTTAACTGGCACCTGGGGCCTGTCCCCCTAATCAAAATCCCTATTTTAGCGAAAACTTTACCAATAAAGCGGCTATAAAATGCATATGAATAATTGAAGCCTACACACGGGCAGAACGGCAGGTTACAATAGTTAAATATAGTTTTAAAATATCCACCTCCCTCTGGCAGAAGCAAAATCAATTATAGATGAGACACAAACAGGTTCATCTGCGGGCCAGCAACATTTCATGCAAAATTCAGAGCCAAATGTCCCAAGTGTCTAAATAATTACACCGGACGAGCTGACCACACGGGATGGCAGCCGGACTGACTGCCTGGCTGACTAACAAGCTGACAAACTGACGGACTGGACAAACAAACAAACTCATTTACATTTTTAATGATGTTTGTAAACACAAGCCTCGTGCCCCGGAGCCCCTTGTGATAAATGAATGGACAATAAACGATGTCCTCGGCAGGAGCTTTTAAACAACGGAAGTATTATCACAATGCAGTCGAGTGATATGTTATGTGTGCGCTTGGCATTCAAAGCATAATCGGATTTGCCATGTCCTAGGATCCCAAGAATCTACGGCATTTCAGCGGACTTTACATGGCGAGCATACAAATTTCTCCCGTATAATTGCCACATCAGCCGAAAACAAACTCATTTCCGGTTGTGTCCCACAGTGTGTGTGTGTGTGCGTGTGAGTTTGGGCGTGGGATGACCAATGCGGATACTGAATTTTAAATGATTTGCGCACAAAATATTAAAATAATAATCACGGTCGGCGCTGAGTTATGCTTTCAATTAGCCAAACAACCGCAGTCACCGCATCAATTATGTTGAAAACTTCAAAACGGAAACGATACCCAAATGTATAAAAATGTGGGGAGTAATGAGTGTGTGTGTGCACAGTGAAAAAATGTGGAATTATTAATGAAGAAATTTTGATTATATCTGTCTTTACTTGAGAGAGTTAAGGGTATTTTTTAATTAAAAATTTCAATTTAATATTGATAATCAATAAATTATACGGTTATGACACTGGTTCATTAAGTAGGCTACATGAGAAGCTTGACACCTTCCCTAGGGTTTTACTAAAGTGCGAGAAAGATGACTATAAAGCACTTCTTATGAAAATGGTAAGGCATTACGTCAGAAAATCGAAAGAATTAAAATAAAAATACTAGAAAAAATTAAGTGCTCTGAAAAAATTACACTAATGGATTAAAGAATATCTAAAATAAAACAATTTAATTAATTTATTATTAGTGTTTGACACATGGTCTCTCAATATGTATTGCTTTTTGCTACCGTCTTGCCACTATTTGCTAAAACTAAACTTAAACAAGAGCTTGTAAATATTTGTCCTTTGTAAATAGGTGTGACCGTAGTCGGTTACAAATAAAATATCCTAGCAACATAAAGCTCTAATAAATCTTTTAATTATTGAAGCAGTGTCATAACCACAAAAGCAGTTGCACATAAGATATTGATTAAGATACAAAGAATTTATTTTCAATGATACTATTTTTAATATGATCTGGTTTTGTATTTAATTCTTAGTTTTAAAATTTCCTTTTCAGTTTAAAGTAATTAAAATTACTTTCTCGAATTTCTCCTCACTTGATTTTTTGTCAAGTGTAACTACCTGCTAATTGTTATTAAGCTGACGGCAACTTTAGATGAGGCACCAGAGACCTTGCCACACATCATTGCCCTCAAGCTCTCATAATCGAGAGAGTCAGACGAATATATAGTACAATTTTTCGGACAGATCCAACCGCAATTGGACGTGCAGCGATTCCAACTCAGTGGAAGGACCAATTTGTTACCCACTTGCATTTACTTACTTGGCGGCTGTGTTGTTGTCGTGGTCGCCATTGTTGTGGTTGTTGTGGTTACCGGCTCCGTGATGCTGATGCCCACAAATTCCGTTGTTTCCCTTGGGTCGACGAAAATTACTGGATCATCGAAATCTATACTGCTGCCGCCGCCACGTCCCTTTCCGTTATTTTTACGTCTGCCGTTGTTGCCGTTACCGTTACCGTTGCCATTTCCATTTCCATTTCCGTGTCCATTGCCGTTGCCGCTGTGATAATCGTCATTTCCGCCGCTCTCGACATTTACGCTGGGCAGCGGGATTGAATCGGGCAGATCGAGATAATTGTGTTCCACCGATGCTGGCTCTGATTTCTCTTTTGGCTGCCGTTTCACCCAACATTTTCACATGCCATGGTTTTATTTTTGTATATTTTTTTTTTATGGTTTGGTTTTGCGTTTCGTGGTTTTTCAATTTTGTTGCAGGTTTTTTTATATATATTTTTTGTTTCATATTTGTTTTTCCACATTTTTATTTATTTATTTGCATTTTTTGTGGTTTTTGCGGTTCATTGTTGCAATTGTTCGTCGTTATTATTGTTGTTGTTTTCCGTTGTCGGGAGAAAGAGAAAAGGATGTTAAAGAGTTTGAAAACGAATACAGATATATGTATGTATATTTTTTTATGGGGAGGGGGTGGCTTAATCTTTTTGCTGCCGCCGCTGCAAAAGGCAATAGCAGCAGCAGCAGTAGCAGTAGCAGTAGCTGCTGCAGGTCACAGAAATTGATTGCTTTGTCGGTTTGCCCAACCCGAGGAACTGGGCCACAAGCAGAAACAGAATTTTACCAGGATGCGGATCCTGATCCACACTCGAAAAAGGTTTTTACATTTTTAAACAATAAATATATTTAATAAGATAAGAAGGAAATCTGGCTTTAAATTTATTTCTTAATTTCATTTAATTTCATTTTATTTTAAATGTGTATTTTGGCAATTGAATAACTATTTTAACAACTAAAATATAAATAATAGTATATTACTTTTTAATTTTTTAATTATCAACTAATCCTTGTAGCAACTAGTGGATAAATATTTTCCTTTTTAACTCCCTTGTATTTAATATTTGTGTTTATATCTTGATAAACATTTTTTAAAATAATTATAATTAAATAAAAATACAACGAATTTCAAATTGAATTTTTGTTAATGTTTTTTAAACTCTTTCCTCTTTTAAATGCTTAATAAATGTATTAAAATATAGATTTTTTAACATCTCAATTAAGTTCAGTATTTTTTTTTTCGAGTGACACATCCTTTGACCAGGACCAGAACAGAATCCGGGATGTGGACTTTGGTTTGACCTGGCATGTTGTGTGGCATATTGTCCGCTTTGCCGTTTCTCCGCCCAGAACCGCCACGCCTCCTTGCCGCCCCCTTTTTGAGCCACTGATTGAGTGCTGATTGGGAAACACAGAAAGCGAACCGACGGACAGAAGACCGGACCAAGGATTAATAAAGAGAACGTTGCAATGGGAGAATTTCCCACAGGTAACTGTTGTTGATGCTTGTTAAAGGTGGACACAACGCCAAATGGTAAGGATCGGATCAAATCGGCCACTAGTTGACCGCATTGGGCAATTAGGACTCGAATGGGGAGTAACCAAAGACGCCTAAGCCTAAGGCATACTCACCGCATACACGTCCTTGAAGATGTGCGTTGCCGGCTTCCTTGGCGTTTGCTTGGGCTGGAAACTGGTCGTCGTTGTCGTCGGCGTTGTGGTGGGCGGCGGTGGAGGCGGAGGCGGTGGCGCCCGCGTTGTCGTCGTCGTTGTTGTGGTCGTCGTGGTGGTCGTTGTCGTTGTTGTGGTGGTAAGGAAACCGAGCTCAGCCAATCGCTTCATATGGAAATCCTTTTGAGCCTCAACTGTGGGGGGTAAAGAAATTAATTGGAAATTAAATTTGAGAATTAAAGTGTTACTTGCTTAATATTTAAAGTCTAAAATATTAAATTATATGTATATATATATAATAATATATTTTTCTGACTTACCCACACACGGATTCATCCACAGCAGGCGCCGCCATCCCACACACTGGTACAAGTGCTGGGGATCTGTTCCTTGGCAGGCACAGGTCGTCCTCAGCATGGTGCCCAGTATGCCAATCATTGCTGTTCGACAGCCGCTCGGTCTGCCGGCGCACTTTTTGGTCACGCTATCCACCGCACAGGCCTGCTCGTAATACTCCAACTTGAGTCTGAAAATAGATATGGTTTTCAGTTGAAATACACTCAAAAATAAAAGAATTTACATTTACAAATTGAAATTTTCATTTAATAATAGTTTTTCTTTAGCTAATCAAGGCCTTGTATTACCCTTAAGTGCTTCTCTAATTGTTTTTAAGTTATTTTTAATATATTACTAATTTCTCTGAAATATTTAATTCAAATCCATGGCATTTTACAGTGTACTGATAAGCAGACTCGTAAAACCCAAGTAAGCTTCTCTGAGAAGCTGCCATCTCCAAAACCCATTTCCATTTCCATGACACAGGCTGAAGTCTTCGTGTCCGTCATGCGCCAGTTAGCTGCAGATGCAGATGCATATGCAGCTCCTCTGCTCCTCGAGGTCCTCCGGTGATGGTGATAAGTGTTCCGTTGCCGACACTGCACTGCAGCAGCTTCTCCCTCACCTGAGATTGATGTCGGCCAATTTGTGCTGGCATTACTCTTCTCCCCTCTGTCTCGGCATTCTACTGCATTTCATCGTCTTGGGGCGGCGGTAAAGGTCGGTTTTGCGTTGTCGCATCATCAGAGCAAGTCAAATTTATGGAGCCCAGGTCCTGAGGCTTGCGAGATTCAAGTGGGGATTTTTGGTCAAAAGCCATGCGACGTATGCGTAATATTTCAATAGCTGATTATCGGCACAAGGCGATGACTTGGGCATTTCAAGGCGATATTGCATGCTTGCTAACTTGCTTGGCGAGAGGTAAACTCTCATTGTGTGGTAATTTATGAATGATATCTTTGGAATTTGGCAAGTAATATCTTTAAGCAAACATGTTCTAGTATGGATATTAGGTTTTTATTTCAACAAAAATTGTTGTGAGCTTTTAGAGCTTACAACAAATTTTTAAAGAATTTTTTGCAGGAATCTTTTGGGTTGGCTGCAATTCATCTTAATCGACGTAATCATTAAGCTTTTCTTGCGCTTTATGGGTTGCATAAAGCCTGCAAATGGTTTGCTGTAACTGAAAATTGCGGCACGCGGCCAACAAAGTGCAGTTTAAGACGTCAGAGTGTTGCACCTTCGATGGCAGCCAAACAAATGAGCATTCACCCCTATACAGGCTCAGGCTCAGGCTCTGCCACAGGCACAGGCACGTGTTGGCGCACAACGCGTCGTATACGTAATAAGTCAACATAAGCACTCCACACGTTGCCCCGGCAAAGGGCCTGACTTTGCACCCTCCTCGCAGGCAGCAGGCAGGAGGCAGCTGCTGCAGCATACAAAATGAGCGTCATTAGTCCAATTTAGTTGTTTACCAAAGCAAGTGCGATTCACTTAAAAGGCAATTAATTTCCACAGCCACAGCAACGACCACGTACTTTGCGGTCGTTCAGCCGTAACATGACAACAAACAAACAAACAAACACGCCGAAACAGCCCAAACTCCCTCACCTCAGCCCGTTTCAAGCATGTGCATCCGAGACGGCAGCTCAAGGGTGTGGAGGTGAGGGTGCTGCATCGTATTTATAACTTAACTTTGTGTTTGACACATTCACGCGGTCTGGCCTGCAAGTTTTAGCTGCTGCTGCTGCTGCTGTCTGGCTTAATGAAGAGCTGCTCCGGCCACGGCCGGAGATTGAGCAGGGTATATGGAGAGATGAAGTTGCCTTTGGCAAAGTGGTAATTTTATGCCCCGCTTGCTGGCAACTACAAAATTCCGGAGCACCAAGCTCGTGTCAATTTAACGAGTTCGGCTGAGTGCCATCAAAGTTGCGGCTTTCGCAGACTTTGCCGTGGCTAAACGTCTCTAATTCAATATCAACGCGAGCGTGAGACTAAGTCTGGCAAATCCAATTTCGTCTAATTGAATTGGTGGCAAGTTGAAAAATAATACGGTGCAGTACGAGTATGTGGCAATTACGGTGATTGGGAATAGTTTTCATAAGATTACCGTTAAAGATAAAAACATAATACTTAATTGTGTTTAAAGTTATTAAATAGATATTAGAAATCAAGAAACTTAAACTCTAGAGCTTTGTAGGGTTTTAAAAACTCTTTAAAATATGTCTTAAAGTAAGCGAGACAATTCTATAGGTTCTAAAATTCCATTGTGCTTAAAGTTATTAAATTAATATTACAAATCAGTAAACTAGGGAGCTAAAGATCTCACTATAGTTTCAAAACCCTTTTAAATATAGCAACAAAATTCAGTGTTTATTTTTTTTTGTTAAAATTTTGAAGCATAAGTTTAGAAAATATTTAAAAGCTTTTTTTATTTCTAAAGAACTAAAGAATATATATTTTTTAAAATGTCTAAAAGCATTTTTCTTTCATATTTTCATATTCATATTTCATATTTTAATTTTTATATTTAAAATTTATGTTTTTGTTTTTATATTTTTATTCTTATATGTGTTTTTAATATATGTTATCCTTTAAGTAAAATTACCAGCTTATTCAATCTACTTTTAGAATATCCATTTTTACATTTTCCATAAAAGCGTCCACTCATGGGCCGGAAAGTATACATTGCATTGCGTACATTTCCGGTTCCGCTGAACGCTCCCTTTTACGCTCAATTTTTGAATTATGACCCACCTGCACTCGCGATCCTCCTTGCAGCTGTCGGCGACCACGTGACAGGCGGGCGGCGGATGGTAGTAAATGCCATTGGAGCTGGCCGGATTACTGTTATCGGGCGGCCGCTGTGCGCACACTGGATGCAGTTTTTCCTGTGCAATCATGCACATGTCGTGCCGATTGGCGTTCTGCTGGCTGCTGCCTGTTTTCCTGCGGCGGAACAATGGAGTTTCGGTTCGATTTTGGGTTGGTTCAGTTTGGTTTGGTTTGTTTGCTGCTGGCTGCTGGCCAGCCACTTACTTGCATAGACAAAAGGCAATGTCCAGATTGAGGTCCTCGTGGGGACCCTTGTAGAAGGCCTGCAGCGAGGACATGCACGCATTGCGATTGCACCGGTGCATCTCGCAATGCATCAGCATCGGTTGCAGGGACGAGGAGCAGGACGGATCCTCCCGGCAAGTGTCCAATGCCGTGTGACAGGTACTCTAAGGGGGATACAAGCAGAGAGAGAAAAGAATCGTAACAATTGCTTATGAAATAATTTTGTATAATATAAAAAGAAGACACTAGGGATTGGAAGCTGCTTTAAAAAATATGTCTAAGGGTAGGTAAACTTGTTGTTTTTTTATATTTCAATTTAACATTTTGTATTGTGAATTCTAAAAATATTTTTATTATAATTTAGAGTCACTGCATTTTTTCTCAGTGCCCTAATAAACACTACAAATTGTGTGAGCTGCTTTTTGCATTGTCCATGTCTCGTTTCGGGGACTTTTCTTTGCACTCACCTGAAAGTGTTGCTTGATTATTTCCGTTGAGAGGTCAACTTCGACATCCTGACCACCTGCAGCCGGCCAAAAACGTGCCCAAGTGTGCCAGTCGCATTTGCATTTGCATTTTGCATCGAGCAAATGTTGCCCGGGGGAGTTGATGTTGGTTGATTGGGGATTTAATGTTGGATGGTGACCGCAGCGGAGGTGCGTAGAGAAAATGTTTGAAATAGTTCATTAGTTTTCAATTTGCGCAACCCTTTCTCTATGCTATAGCATATTCGATTCGCACACAAAAAAATAAAATATATACTATATATATCGGTGGTGTCGCCTGTCCCCAACCTAACTGGCGGATTGCATTAGCTGTTTTAACCCAATTTGGGTATGGTTAGAGCTCTCAATCACCCAGATGCTCGTCGAAATGGATTGTAAAATCATTGATTACACCTATCGAGAGTGGATGGCATTTAGAACTAATTAAAATGTTAAATTTATGGACGGCCAGTGGATGGTCTTAATTAATTTCATTTATTTATACAGGTTTTTAGTCGTTTATTTGCTTATTCACTCTCAATTGGCGGGGATTCACAGGCAGAATATACCCGCGGAGCTGTATTTAACGTTTAACTGAAGGCCTAATCACAACTCAATTACTTTTTATGCTCGTGAATATATAGAGAGAGGGTTGTGAGTATCACTCTGAATATCAATCACGGCCGCCGGTTGGTTCGGGTGACAGCCCCCGCTATCGATTGCATTTTAATTAACCAACTTTCAGTTCGCTCTTCAGTTTCAATTGGTAATCACAAAGCGTTGCCTCAAAAATCCCAACACTTCCCCGCAGATAGTCCCTCCTCGTAACGATTGAAATTATTAAATCAAAATAACAAAAATGCACATAAATAACGTAAATTAAATGCAAATATTCCACAAATTTGTTTATTGCCTATTACTAGAATCCGGGGTAGAGAGGCGCAAAGAGAGAGATTTGAGAGTGAGAGTCAATTATGGGAATTGGGGGGGTAATACTTTCAACATTTTCGGGGCGTGGTCACGGGGTCGCAGGGCTGGCAAAACACAACTAGGTCTATATATATAAATATATGCATATGAAAGGTATAGATTTATTTGTTATTTTATTTATTGGTTTCGACTTTAAAAACTACCAAACCTACTGATAAAAATATATTCTGTTTTTAGGGGGGGATCGGCAACGATACTATAGCTCCTGTGTGGCTGTGTGTGTGTATTTATATGTGAGTTGGAGGTATCTTTCGGATGTATCTTTCGGGTTTTCTGAAGTCCCAACATGGGGGACTCATGGCTCCATGACTCATGATATAGTATAGCTCTCTGACGACTGTGAGAAAATGTGTATTTTTACTGGGTTTTCTGTACTATGCTGTGTGTGTGTGGTCTTTGGGGGGGAGTTAAACTGAATTTATGCTTCAAATAAGGCTAGGTAACGAATGTAGGTAAGGCAAATAATTCGATTTTCAAACGGAACACGGAATAAGCCAAACAGAAAAGTCGGGCAGCGAACAAAAAGTGTCTTGACAAAATCAATTTGTTTTCTCTTTGAGGGGAGTTGGTTTTTTTTTCTTGGCTTTTCAAGCTATATGTATTATATATTCAATAAAAAGTCCAGCTTTTATGCGCCGTCTCTCACGGAAGAAGTTTTTAATGTTTATTCGGTGGCTTTGTTGTATGAAACAATGAACTCGATGGCTGGTGAGTAATGTATAATTTGTATGACACAAATGTTGTTTGCACTTGAAAAGGGGAATGACTTGGAGGATCTCAAAAAACTTGATTTGAAAACGCTTTTGACGTTGGGTTAGTTGTTGTTATGTTTTTGGGGTTGTTTGGATTCAAAAAACGGGGTGCGTTGGAAAAAATTTGAAAAAGTGTGCTTGAATTGAATGTAACAAAATTTGATTGGTTTTTCTTTTTGGTTTAACTTTATGTATATTTTTAAGGAAAGAAATTAAATGAATTTTGTTTAGTTTTTGGTTTTGTTTAGGGTTTTCATTTTGCTCACATAACGTAGGAAAAAGTTAGTATCGAAAATATTCACAACTTGTACACAATTCTATATTCTTTTTGTAATCTCTAGAGTTTTCTGTTAGATAAACAAAATGACAAACAAAATTCATAGTAAGGAATTAATTGTTTTAAACGCATTGGAAGCAAATTGTTTGTTTAGATTTTTTTGTTTGGTTTTTCTTTGGTTTTTTTTTTGTAAGAAAATTTCAAAAAACTCTCAAAACAAATGGCAAGCTACGTAAAAGGAATTGAATTGAAACACAAAAGCATTTAAAATAGTTAGAGATATATGTAAATATTTATATATGTATAGAAATTGTAATGTATAAATTGTTTGTAGTTGTAACTATACTTAGATTTCGTTTGTTTTTCGTTTTTTTTTTATATAAAGGTTGAAAGAGCGATTGCCAAAAATTATGCACAAAGCCAAGAGGCGCACGGATTGCGCCAAGTTGTTTGTATTTATATTATATATATGTATATATTCACCTTTAACACAAAAGCAAAAATTTGAATGAATTTGATTTTGTATTTTGAAAAATAATTTACCTGCAACACGGTGTGTTTTTTTCGGTTACAGGGGGACGACACAAAACGGAAATCATAAATAAATCCACAAAAATCTATCTAAACGGTGAACGAACGAACGAAATGAACAAACGAACTTTTTTTGCCTGTTAATTAGTTCTAGGAGCTTGAACACACACAAATCTGGATTTTCAGATATTTTTTCCTGCATGTAATTGCTGCATTTTAAAATTGATTTATTTTGCAATTTTTTTGTTTTTTTTGCTTGGTTGGTTTGGACTCGTGGACTTGTTTTATTTATGGATTTACGTTCATGCTAATACGTGTACACATACTTTGGTAGTAAACACCGGTATTTCCGTTTCCGCCATAGCCGAAGCCCGTATCAATGATATCGAATGGTTCATTATCGGCAGCCGCCGCTGCCATGTGCCGCTGATGGAAGCCGCTTATATTGAACGGATAGCTGGGCACGCCGTGCATCGAGCCCGGATAGTTAAAGCTGCCGGATAAGCCTAGGCCCATGCCGGATCCGAGGCCGGAACCGGAACCGGAAGTGGTGACCGTGCCGGACCCTGAGCCGGTGCCCATGGCTATTAGGGGCGTATCAATTAGGGCCAAATTATCATTGAAGATTCTCTGATGCAGTTTCTCGTCCATGCCCAATATTCTTACTGCAATTTGAGGTTAGCAAGAAGAGAGAGGGGGTAGAGTATGGTTGTAGTTGTTGTAGGTTGTTGGTTGTTGTGATTGGTTGTAGTTGTTATTTGTTGTAGTTCTTGTTCAGTGCCATCTATATAGTTGTTGTTATTGGATTGTTATTATTGTTAATTGTTGTGACTGTTGCAGCTACGCAGCATTTGAGTTTATCCAATCACATTCGCATAAATTTCAGTATATATCTGGTTGTAGCATTTGGCTTTCTTACAATCAATTTTATAGCTATTAATATACTTTTATATTAGGTATGTTTAAAAAAAGAAGTAAAACATAAAAAATGATATACTTATATTGTTTAAATGCCAAAGAGTGGATTGGCATTAAACGAAAGACCTTTCCATTCGGAAGGAACAAACGAACATATAGATAGTGTCAACGAAAGAAGAGTAAAAATCGAACAAACATACAGAGGAGAATGTGAAAGAGACGGTGCCAACAATTATCGTTTAAAATTAGTGCAGGGCAGAGGGAGGAGCCAAATGCTTTGCATTGAAACAAAAACGGAATCGAAATTGTTTTCTTTTTCGATTTTCACAGCAGCTACTGGTCCCAGCCACGCTTCGAATCCCATTTGCTATCAATGGCAAAACATAAACAGAAGGCAAGCAGAGGCATCTGTCTGTCTGACAGTCGGTCGTCGTCGTCGTCGTCGTCAAATGTCATGCACTGATAGAGCGGGCAAATAGCAAGCGGCGAGGTCTCAAAACGCTTTGCAACCGCAGCAGCAGCATCAATATCAGCAATGACACACAGAGAAAAAAGTATAGAGACTAGAAGAGAGTGAAATTTAGTTGTACTAAATTTACATTTATAATAGAAAGTCGTTAAGAATTAAAGTTATATTAAATTAATGAAGCTAAATTGCTAAAAACTTTCACTTGACAAATTGTACATTGGAAAACTAAGTACAAAGCGTTTGAAGGGCTTTATTAATTATTTAAAAGTTTAAATTCGAATTAAATTGTTTTTTTTTTTGAATTAGTTTTAAAAATGTTTTAAAAATTAATTAATTTATTTTAATAACTTTAGACAAATCTTTGAAGAAAAAACGAAATTGTCTTAGAGGCTTGCCTTATTAGATATTTATTACAGCTAATTTACTTTTAAAAATATTTCCAACTCTCTAGGGCTTTTGAGGACATCCCAACATATGTTATAATATTTTAAAGAAATTATTACAAGCTTGCAATAAATTTTTCTCAGTGTGCTTATTGCTTATCTCGCAGAAAGCACGCCAAAGTGCGCTTCATTTGCGGCGTCTGGTAAAGCTCAAAAGGATGCCAATCCCAGTGCCATTTCCACCCGCTATGTGAGGAGGATTCACAAGAGACTGCTGCTGGATGGTGGAGGGTCAACTGCTGGCGCTAAATGGCCAAGGATTTGCCAGGAGACGTGCGATGTATTTATGTTTGTCGCTCGCATTGCCATCGCAAATATTTGCGCAACAAACAGAAGCGACGCGCCGCGGCACGATGCTAACTGTCCTCGTGTGCGGGTGTCCTGAAGTCCCGTAGACCCTTAGTCTCTTAGTCCCGAAGTCTTGGGAGGGTGGCTTGAATGGGATTAGCTCTGTTCTGTTAACTGTTATCGCGCTTGTAAGCTCCTGTCGTTGAGTGGATCTGTGTCATCTAATTGTTGCGCATACGCAGCGTTGCCGCCGCAGTATCCACTAAATTGCTTCAATACAAAACGTTTTCAGCTGCACTCGGGTCATTGCATGCCATTTAACATTTAACCGAAAAGCGAAGGGTTCATATTGGGTTGAATGTGCAGAGAGAGGGACACACACAGGCGCACTCACATATAAACATGAGTGTAAACATGGCGATATGCGGCTGCAGATACGGTGCGCGAAATTTAAACAAACTCATAAACAACGGAAATAAATTCTGAGAATGTGCAATAATTTCAAAATTACATTCTGGCCAGTGCGTGTGATGGCAGCGAGTGTGGAATGTGTGTGTGTCAGCTGGGTGTTTTGTGTTGTGCGGGGGGTCTTGCCATATCAAATATAGCCAAAACAGGGCCCATCCGTGGTTTTCATGCCCTAATTGGGAGCCTGACTGTGAGCAGCTGCATCGCCTAGATACACACACTCACTCACTCAGTCTGCAGGCATTGGTCCTCACGGATATACAGATACTCGTACATAGATACAGATGCACAGCGGTGTTTGGCGGTGCTTGGGTATGGCGACGGGGTTGTGGCATCAACATATCGCCCTCTGCTACTTCTAAGTGGATTGTGCGATATTATGAAAATATTTATTACACGCAAACATGGTGCGGATGTGTCCTATATATACACTATATACATATATCTATATATATGTCTGTGGATATAAATATATCTATGTGACTGTGCAGGGTGCTTAGGAGCTGGGTTTGTGTGTGTGTGCTTAAGGGTGCTGGGACAAGCGTGTTTCACTTCGTTTTGTTGTTGGCGCAACGCTGACAAATCGCTTTATTTGCTTTTTAGTTGTGCTTAATTAAATTTTCAAATTGAACGCTCAGCTTAATTTTTATACACGAGATACCTATTAGTTGGTCGAGCATGTGAGAGTTATGTCAGGCTTTAAAAAAACATTCATCTAGTGATTTAAATTTTAAAGGAATTTAAAGTAATTCTGTTAATTAAATAGCTCTTTGAAATGTAGTATTCTAAATATATAGTGATTAGTTTTTGTTTGTTATTTAAGCTTAGTAACTAAAAACTTCTTGTATATTCTTATTTTTGGTCCTACGAGCCGGATATGAACTACTTGCTTGTATATTAGGTACAGTCAAAGACGACATTCGAAAATTGACAACAAACTATGTTTATTTATTTTTATTGAATATTCTTGTTTTGAATAGTGATATTGTTAATGGTCTGACTGGAAAATTCGTAGCCCTTCGGGTTATTGAAAATGTTTATGCTTTGCATTCCAGAATCCAATCAGCAACAATAACAATTCAATTTAAATTTTCCAGTTAAAACACAAAACGAAAAAATATAGTGGCTTCTGCTTGAATATTTATGCACATCTCTTGCCTGAAATGTGCCCTCGAAAATCAGATAACCCTCCAATATCGGGGGGTTATTGTTGTGGCTGCTGCTTGTGCTGTTAATTTACTGGTCGCCATAAACGTAAATAAGGCGACTGTCGGTGAAAATCGGCAAAGTCTGCTGTGTGCTAGTCCCAGTGTGTGTGTGTGTGCGCTTGACGTGCATAAATAGTTTGCTAATATTTACAGCAATCCCATAGCTCGGCAGCTGCAACAATAGACAAAGCTGTGTGCAGAAATGCATAATGCACAATGCACAATGCAGGCTGGAAATTTATAACTTTGTCGAACAGATTGCCGAGTGCAGCAGCGGGTTCAGGAGCAAAAACAAAACGCCAGCCGTCGATGATGGACGGCCGGTGTCAAATGGCAAGTGAAATTCGTGGCCATAAATAAAAAATAGAGGGGACAGCCAAAGAAGCAAAGGGGGAGAATGGATGCATTGATTAGGCCATTAACAATTGCAGGCTCTGTCGTCTGCTGAAAATAGCGCGTCTGTAAATAAGCAGCATTTTGTGAGCGGAAAACAACAATACATTTTTAGGAAAAATTATTTTTAGTTACTGGTTGTTTCATCCTTGATTTAAAATTAAAAAAAATTTAAGTTTCTATATGCCTATACATTTGTAGAGAGCTTAATGTACTAAGAAAATGATGTATTTATATCTTTGTCTCAAGAGTTTTAGCTAAATTAGAGGAACTTTCCCTTAACTAATATTGTTTAAAAAGTTTCTTTATAAAATATTTATATAAAATTATTAGCACACGACATATTGATTGGCATTTCCTTGTGCTTAACAGAAGATTTTCGTCTAAGAAGTGGTATAAAACTAAAAATATTTTGAAAGACAATTTTAATAGGTAATAAATGTATAATAAAAGTACTACATTTAGGTTTCGATATACACTAACCATTATGTTTAAATACCTATTATTATTTCTATAAAAGAGCACATATTAACTTCAACTTCATCACTTGTTTAATGCAGTTTTAATAATAAAATTAAATAGTTTGATTATTATATAAATTTCTAAACAGTTCAAGCACATTTTGATTTTGTTTTAAATTTTTAAATTGTTTTAAATTATTTTCTCAGTGTATATTGTATTAATTAGAATAATGTAAAGCCACAGTGGAGTGCCGGGTTGCAGTTCTTGGACATTGCTTTTTGATGACGCGTTAAGGGTTCGAAATCCTTATGTATGACACCAGTGTGCATTGAATCAGGCTGTATATATTCACATATATACTTATATATATATATATGAATCTGTGCTGCATTCATGTAACTGCAAGTGATTGCCCCTGCAGATAGCTAAAGCCATTGGAGCTAATGGCAAACAACAAAGGACCGAGCCTGGCCACCTTTGTTCTAATAAGCATTTACAGGGAGTCTTTATTGAGTGAGTGAGAGAGCTGGGGAAAGTGGTGCAAGAGTGAGTTAGATAGAGAGAAAGGAGTGCTTCTTGGTGCTCTTGGGGGAATACTTACTTACAGGCCAATTGTCTAATTTACGGCCAGACCCCTTGCTTCAGTTCCCATTCGAAGTACATAAATATTTAATTCAAATTAAATACCACCCAATGAGAGAAGTCATCCGAACTTTGTGCTAAGTCCAAACAATAATTAACTTTTTGCCCCATGCGTGCAGCTATGATTACTAGACAAAATTTAAAAAAGAAAAAAGCTTTTACAGGAAATTAAAAATTCAAAAAGTAAACAATGAGAAACAATATTCTCAAGAAGTACACAGATAGCCTTTTAACTGGCCTAATTAAAAACCAGAAGCCTATGTATTTTAAATTAATGGATATTTACATTAAAAACCCATCCTTTAACCACAGTTAAGAATATATAAATACCAAATTAAAAATGTATTTGCCTCACTTAAATATTATCCCCCCCTGTCACTTGTAACCCACTTAATATGAGAGTCCCCAAACCATAATTAAGCCTGGAATCGTTTCCATATTTATTCGATGTGAAAACAGACAACTGTGATGCCTCCGGGGCCGAGCAGATAAAAGTACAGTGCAACCAGGCTAAGTGCAATTAGGGGCAGGGGGACTCAGACTCACCTCGTTCTTCCATCGTGGGGCCAGTGTAGGTGCGGTGGGTTATATCGCTGCCGGCAACTAAATCGCCGAGTGGTGGTGCTGTTTTGTGCATTTTGGTGCCGGTGCTGAATAAATTGCAGAGTTGTACAGATAATTAAGTGCAAATTGCAAAACAGAGTGCGAGATACAAGGGGGATTGTGTGTGTAAGTAGCAGATACATTAAATGAAGCAAATATAAGCAAACAAACAGAGTGGCGGTGCATAAGTAGATTTAGCAAATTACATAAATCTCGTTGGTTTGGGCTAAGAAAATGACTCGATTTGGACATTAATCGGCTTTTGGCACTGCAACTATAACTGGCCAATTAAATCATCATCATCATCACCCCCAAAGGCTAGGGCCTTTATCCGATGGAGCAGCTTAAGTCTGGCGGTCTGAATTATAAAACACAGCCCCACTCATTTGAATATTTATTACAATGAAATGCATTAAAATCAGATTACATAAATGCCGGACAAGTGCCCCGGGAGCCGAGATCAAGGATTGCTTGCCCTGCCGCCAGCCGGACTTATTCATTAGTTGGCTTTTTAACCGGAAATTGTGGCATACCCAAGTGAGTCAATTATTTTAAAAGCTTTTTGCATAAAGTTTGCAGCTCCTCGGTGGCTTAGAAAGGAGAGTTAATGAAAGGCTATCCAAAGCAATCACACACATTCAGGCATGTGTGTATGGTGGACTCTAAACTTTGTGGAAAAGTTGCAGTTGCTGCCGCCGCCGTTAGCCAAAGATGCCAAACCAAGTCGGGGTACAAGGGGATAACCAAGAAGCTCGCCGCGTAGCGTACTTAGGTGGGCTGGGTATCGTGGGTGACGGCAGTCCTGGTAGTCCAGATCCCGTGGTCGAGTTCTGATCGCCGTGCGTGTAGTACGTGTGCGAGTGCGGATGGCCATGGGAGTGGGGGCCGGGACCCGCATCCACCACCACCACGACGTCATGCTCTAGCGCAATGGCAGCATTCTTGTGTTGTTGCTGCGTTGTTGTCGGTGGCGCCGGTGGTTTCTTGTGGGCCACCACTTCTACCACCACATCGTCGTCGTCGTCCAAAGTATGGGGACTGTGCGAGGCCAGGACCAAGGGATTGTTAATGCCCCACGACGGCGGATGGAGGTAGTGCGGGTAATTGGAATAAATCTCGGCTCGTATGCGGTCATCATAATCATCGTCCTCCTCCTCCTCGTCATCGTCGTCGTTGCCGTTTCCCTCCGAATCCTCCTCCTCCTCATCCTCCGCCCCTGCCGGATCGTTTAAGCCATTGGGCTCGTCGTGGTACTCGATATTGTTGGACATCAGCTCGGTGCCATTGCGGCCGTGCGGCCTCTGTCTCGGCCTGGACTTGGGTCTCGCCTTCTGCTTCGATCTGGACTTGGTCTTGGGGCGCGGCTGCTTCGATTTGGGCAGACCGTTGGGGAAGAATATTAGTCTATCTGGAAGGTGGAGCAGGTGCATATCGGGTGCCATGCGTGCGGGAAGAAGAGAAAATCATTTAGTGCCGAGGAGGTGCAAAGTGCGCGAGAGTGTGTGTAGAATAATTAGTGCAATTAGTGTGTACTGTATAGTATAATAAAATTCAGCAGGAGGGATCACTCTGCTCTGGGGTGCTGTTAATTCATTAGTGCAGGTGGTTGGCAGGTGGAGGGTGGAAGGTGAAAGGGTGGTGGGTGGCGAAGTGGAAAATGAAATTATGCTTTAAAGAGTTTTCGTGGTCTCTGGCGTGGGGGAAACCAAATCAAAGCTTTCCACGGACTGAGAGAAATCTGGCCCTAAACCGAAAATGAAAAGGGTAGAGAAACCATAAAGCACAGAGACAGTGTAGGTGTTTTTCTTTCCAGTGTATACTTAGTTGTGATGGAGTTAGTATGGTCTAGAGTTGGTCTTAAATATCTACGGTTAGCGAGTTAGTTCTAGAAGTTGGTGCAATCAATCTAAAGCACAGACTCAGTTCGCTGGGTGGCAGGTAACTTTAGCAAGTGACTGTATGTAATTATGGGCTGATAGCTATAGCTTATTGCTACGACAAACTTTTTATAGTGACAGATAGAGAGATAGAGAGAGAGAGAGAGGCGATACAGAGAGAGAGATAGAGAGAGATAGCACGGCAGCTTTGGTTTACATTGATATACATTCGTATACGTGATATTTACGATTACTTGGGCATAGCTAATATTCGTATATAGTATGATATATATTGGATATAGGCATAGTTTGGTTACTGATCGCAGAACATGGGTTTCATTTTGGATTCTCTAGATTGGTTTTGGTTTGTTTTTACTTTTTGTAGTTGTTGATGCAGAAGCGTGCGATAGTTTAGTTTCTGGTTTTTGTTTAGGTTACTTAAATGGTTAGGCTAGTTTCGGTTTTTGAGCGTTTCACACAAAATTACGATAACCAAAGGATAAGGAAATCGATAACAGAAACCGTAAATAATAAGAGAAACCAACGTAAGAGTCAGTTAAGAACGAATCAAATTGGTTATTTTTTTGCTTTCCGGCAGGTTCACCGCTCTTAAGAAGGAACACAAGAACTTGCGATACCAGAGGTTGACAGAGAAAGAGAGACACATAATAATAGGAAACGTGGACAATTAAAATAAAAACTATATATATATTTTTCGGTTTTTCAACAATATTTCAAAAGCTGTTGCCTTTGCGGCTCTTTCTCTTTCAGCTGTTTGTGTTGTTTGTTGCTTGTTGTTGTTGTCTTGATATTTATTTAGTTGTTACAGTTGTTATAAGTTGTTACTGCTGTTACTGTAGTCACGGTCAACGGTTCAGCATCGCCAGACGAAACTTACCCACACACGGATTGTGATTAACAATATTAAAGATACGATCACAGCGCTTTTTCATATGGTTGTTCGGGCAAATGCATCCGAACATCGGCGACAGTCGAAGATTGGTCCACGAATCGTGGCAGGCGTCCCTGTAAAGAGCGGACAAAGCGATGATAGCCGGTTAAGAACATGGTTAAATCCGGGTGCAAGTCGTCTTGGATGGGGAACGTGGTCCCTCAGCTAATTGAATACATTTCGAGTCCCTAACCGCCGCAACCGAAGCCGCATTGCCAGCGACTTCCGTTCTGGGGCCATGCAAAGTTTAAAATTGCCAATTACATCAAAAATGCATGTGCACTGGGCATAAATATGGGTATGATTTGGGTTTATAAATCTGTAAAATTTGTATTACTTTTAGAAGAATTTTTTGAGGGTCTAAATAAGATTTTAAGACAGCTTTGAATAGTCCTATTGATTAATTTAAATTTAATAAAACAATTTTTGTTTAGTCAGAGTTTTATAGCAAGAGTTTGGTTCAGTTACTCAGCAACAGCACCCTAAAATCACGATTTCTCTCTGAGCTGCGGGTCTGATATAGAAGGAATCATCTACAAAGTTTCTCACTTAAATATCCTTAAGATCTGGTAGACATAAACCTGACCTGGTTATAAATTAAATTTTAATTTTTAATTTAAATATATAAAAAAAAAAATTTTATATAATTAATTTCTCTAAGTGCACCCACACGGCGTTGCAATTAATATTTTATCGCATAGGTGGATCTCAGCCAGAACCGAAACCCGCAGCCCGAATGCCTGGCATGCGTGCGGAAAGTTTTAGGCCAGGTTGAAGGAAGGAGGAGACCCGGGTAGCTGTGTCTGTGGGTTGTGGATATGGAGAACTTTAAGCCCAAGTTTCAAAACTCCAAACTCAACTGAAGTCAACTCCGCCGGGCTCTTTTCAGACCCTCCTCGTCCTCAGCCGCCGCAAAAAGTCATTTCGAGTTATTAAAACATTCAGAACGTTTGTATTCAAGTGTATCGAGGCAACGAGCCAGACGGCAGGTCCTGGCTGGCAGTAGGAAATCGCGTCAGTAAGGATATGTGATGGCTAAAGGAAGCGGCAAGAAGCGGCAAGATGCCGGCAAGCAGGAAGTTTCATTTCGCCTTCTGTTCGCTCAACTTGACTCCTGTTTACGCTGCTGTCTGCCGCTCTGTGTGTATGTGCGTTGTGTTTTTTGCCAATAAAATCGAATATCGAAATTGAATGTTGCCAAGCGTCTCTCTCTTTTTTAAGCTCGGAAAAGGAGTGAGGTGGGTTGCAGGTGGCTCTGACGGGCTTTTTGCCGACTACCAATGCAATTTGCATTTGCCGTTAACCATTAAGTGGCTTGGCAGCACTGCGGCAAGGGGCAAATCAATTTTCTTATTAAGTCAAACACGCTTTAATTTCATTTTCATTATCGGTATTGGCATTTGGTAGTGGACTTCGATTGCCCATTTTTTGTAATTTACTTGACACTTTAATCGTGGAGCTACCGTTCTCATTATAGTTACTGATACTGCCTATCAGAATAACGGCAGGTATTTTTCAATGGTTTTTGAGAGTTTCTTTGCCTTTTGCGTTTCCAAAGACCGCCTTTGGGGACTTGCAAAAATTTGAAACGTTATATCTTAATCAGAGTAGCCCCAAGTAAATTTAAAAAAATATTAAAATTTTACTGAAATCGTGATTAAAAAATATATCCCCATTCAAAGCAAACACTCCTGTTAAATGAATTATTTTCGTAAATGCTGATGGTTACTGATATGGTCATTAAGAATGATGATAGCTATATTCCAATGGACTGCTTTTAACAAGCTTAAATTCATTTTTTTCAGCCAAAATTGGCTCACTAACTAATTATCGTCTCTTAATCGATGGAAAGTCTAAAAAAGCCGGGCATTTGCAACCTTAATTTAAGCATCAATATGGATTCCGATGCATTTTTTATTTGTTAATTAAGTTCATAGTGTGAGCTGCATGTCTATTTCAATTTAAATATAATATGAATTGAAAGGTTTTGGTTACGAATATGTCTTCCTTGTTCTTTAAACGTATATTCTTGTTTTCTTATTAAAAAGTTCATACATTTATATACAAATTCTTGAAATTTTGACGACTTGGTTAATACCTTTAAGGCCTTTTAAGATATATAAAAAATTTCCATTAATTAATAGCCCCCTCTTTCTTACCTGTTTTCCATTTTACACTTGTTGTCGCGCACCTTGCAATGCGTTTTAAAGTCCTCGAAGAGCTTCAGGCATTTGCGTTCCTGTTGGCAGACGGACAGAGCGTGATTGCAGGTGGGCAGGGCATCAATGGGATAGGGATCCTTTTCGGCTGTGGAGAAATTATTTAAAATAGTAAATAAATATATCTTAGATCCGCTATGATGACACTCACCTTTCTTTAAAACAAATCCGCAAGGATGATCGAAGAGAAAGTCTCGAAAGTGGTTGCAATCGGGATCCATGCCGGGCTCCTTGCACAGGCAGGTTGGCCGAAAGAACTGAAAGGCCTGAAGGGTACGCAGAGCGGCCTGGCACTTGGTCACCGTCACCGTGCTGCAGGACACTGCAAAGGGGAAGAAGAGGAAGACTTCGTTGAACAACATGTTGTGGCAAGTGAGTGACAGTTGGATCCATTTGGGGGATTGGAGCGGTTATGCTTAATGATCTTTAAATGGCAGCAGTGCTTAAACTTTGACACACAGCGTTGTGCTGGTTCATTTTGGTAACTGCACATCGATTACCAACTATAAGAGTGAGTACACTGAGAGAAAAAGTAATCATTTCAATAGGATTAAATATATCAAAATACTCAGACACCAACTTTCTTCTTGTGATGGTAATTAAATCGATGCTTGAACTTTATATTTTCAGCTTCTGCTTATAAAATTTCTTCCAGTGCATCTGTGGGCCATGACAGTTGTTATAAATGGCAGCCAGACACACAGACAGACAACTACAAACCAGACACATGTCATAATAAGAACCCTGAGAGCCAGAGCGAGAGAAGTTACAACAAATACAATATGAATAATTGAGTCTCCAAACAAAACGGTCGATTTAAGCGGCCAATGAAGCGATGCGTAGGGACAAACGTGGTCCGGATAATATTTTATAACATAATAAATTATGTTACACACATGCACACGCTACCACTACCACCACTACTACTGCTATGAGTGTGTGACAGCTTATTCGAGCATATGACAACTAGCACGGCCAACAAAAGGCACACATCTGTTGGCCATCTATTGTCCTTTTGGCCATAAAACATAAGCCCTACTAATAAACCCGGCTACGCCAACACTTCACAGGCACAGCTAGGAGGAGGGAGGTGGAGGATGAGTGGACTGGGACTGGCACTGGGACTCCGACTCGTTTGGCTCGTCATAAGCCGTAAAATCGCCAAAAAGCAAAACAAGCAAACTGCCGGACAATGGGAGCCGGGGCAGCAGCAGCATAATAGGAAGCGAGTGGTGGTGGTGGCCAGTGGCCAGTGGGCCCTTACCACGCCATGTGGTTCACGTCACTCAACTGACCCGGGCCCCCATCTCGCAGCTGCCTTTCGGTAACCCCTGTGATTGCCCCTCGACCTCCCCAATAACGCCCTTGTCCATACCAGACCGGACATGATTATTTGCTAGTTGAACATAAAGTTGCTTCCGCCAGGATTGGAACTGGAAGGACACACACACACACTTATCTGAACAGTGGCATCGGCTACGCAACAAGTGACATTTTTCACAGGCATCCATCATTTTTATGCCTTCCCCCCCGGAGTGGTGGCCCTTTTTCCTCAGATTCTCTTTTTCCCACCTCTTTTTTCCCACCTCTTTTTGGCTCCCTTTTTCCTTCTTTTTGTTTTCAATGTAAGCTGGTTATATGAATTCGGATTTTTGGATTTCAGGATTTTTTCGGGGTTCCTTTGGGGTGTCAATTAAAGCTCGTTGGCTGAGGATCAACAGCGAAACGCTGGGTATTTATGTTAGGCCTTTTAGGGATTGTTAATATAGGAAATAATTGCAACCAATTGTATTCAGAATAGAGAAACTAATAGCGGCTTTTAAATATATGCAAATGTATCTTGAAACCAAGTATGTATAAGTACAAATCTTCTGAACAGAATTATTAAGAACATAGTTAGGCTATCATAATTCGTCAGCTTGCCATATCATTAAATTATCTGAAATATATTTTAATATTTTTTTATTTATTAATTATTAAGTACGACAGTATTAAGTCTTTGGTAAGTAAATCCCTTCGCTTCTAATTATTTATTTTTTGAGGAATAATCCTCCCTTTAATTGATATTCTTCCCCCTACTATACATATATTTTAAAATATTTCATTTTATTTTTTATTTGATTTTAAATTTATATACTATTTTACATTAAAAGTAACTATTTTCCAGCTTTTCTGTAAGTAATACCAAAACGTATGGCTCCTTTCTCCCTGTGTGCTGAGTGCATTTGATGGCTGGCTGGCCAACTAGTTACTGGTTCTTGGCCCTGGCTGGCAAATCCTATTGGCCAGAGGCACCTGGCTCTGGTTTCGTCATTGCATGCTGGGCAGTCATAAAAAATAAAGCCAAGGCGAGTGGTTTTTATGCTTCGTCGCCATCAACTGACGCCATTTGCTCTGTTTGTGTGTGTTTGAGTTTTTTTTTCACTGCCGTCGCCGTCGCCATTGCCCTTGCCTTTTACTGTTATTGTTACGTCCTCAATTCGTTTTTATTCGAAACGCGTTTCCGGTTGTTGAGTTGGTCGCTGAATTGGTTCAATGATTTCTTTGTTTGTTTGCTGCTGCCGCCCGTCTGTGTATGTTCGAGTTGAGTTTTTTTTTTTTGCCCTGCTTTATTTGATTTTAGTTTGATATTTGTTTTCCTTTGCCTGGTCATTGTTTTTATTTATTTTTTTCCTTTGGCTTTTTATAGCCGTCTGTTGGTGAAATTTATGAGTCATTTATTAAGTTTAGCCATTCAGGGGCATATAAATTATTATCGAGGATATTAATTAGAAGTTCGTTAGGGTTTAGCACAGGGAAAATATTATTTAGAAGTAAACACACAGATTAAATACTTTAATTAAGAGTTTAATGATAGTTCAGGTTGCTTGAGGCAATTTTTAACATATTTTCTACCCGGCTTCCGGTGCAGTGTCAGTGCTTCATCCTGTTCTTTGTGCCATGCCCTTATTATGTATGTGTGTGTCCTGTTGATTTTATTGAACCTTCGACAAGTGCCCCGGTGGCTCAAAGTGAGTGCAGCGTTTTAAAACGGAAGTGGAATGCCGAAAAGTATGCCATGCAAAGGCACGACTGCTGCTGCTGCGCTGCAACTTCCGGCAAAGGAAAAGCGAACAAAAATATGTTTATCGCCCAGCTGGGGCATCATCGAAGCTGCTTTTAAAGGCTTTTGCCGGTCGTGCCGTCGCATATGAGAAAGAGAGACAGCTGGGAGGGGGGAAAAGCTGGGAGAAAAACCTGCATGAAATGCAATTATCATAAATATTCAGACACTGCCTCGCCTCTCCATGTCACACCACCGCAGTGCCTCTTTAAGGCACATCCATATTTGGAGGACATTTAAAGGACGACAGCGAGACACCGCGACAGCCATTAACCTGCACGGCTAACAAAAAGTAATTTCACTTTTAAATGAAAAAGTTCAAAGTGCGTTTGTTTATGCCGCACAGACACACACATGACATCCTGGCCATAAAAACAAATGCCAAATGATATTTTGTACGTGTATATATGCGGCATCCCCTCTCCCTTCCGTGACAAAAATTAGACGCTGGCCAGCAATTGTAATCGTAACTTTTTATTATGATGCGTTGGCATTTGCAATCGAAATTGAATTGGAGAAGGGCTCTCGGTCCGGGCGGGCAATCAGGGATCAAGATGAAAGAGACGAGGTGCTCGGTTTTATTCGATTATTCCCAGCACACGAGCCTTGCTCAGGAAGTCCGTGCGCTGCACATAGGAGCCGGACATGGTGCGACTTCCGGTGTAAGCCTGACGCCCATGAAGCACCCGCCAGTTATCGAAGAGCACAATGCTGCCTGGAACTAACTTTAGATTCCACTGAACCTGCTCCTGCCTTACGAGCTGCAACAGCTGTCGCAGACTCTTGTAGAACCCAGCCATCTCCGACTGAGGCAGGGTATCGAACACAGCACGATCGTAGACATTGAGCCTGAGCTGTACGAATTCCTGGGTCAGGGGATCCAACTGTATGACAGGCGCCGTGTAACGGTGATGCTCGCCCTTTTCTATATACTCCCCGGGAACCTGAACCCTACACAGGGTCTCAAAGGCATCGGGAAAGCGTCTCTTCAGTTCCTCCACCACATACAGACCATCCACGAAGAAGTTTTCACCTCCAGAACCCGAGTGCTCGATGCAGTGCAGAGCCTGCAGTCCGGCAGCATCGCAGAAGTATGTATTATCGGTGTGAGAGCCCAGATATAGCTTGGTGTAGGCTGTATCAGCATGATCGGGCTTATCGCTGAACGTCCACATCTCACCGAAGAAGGTCTTCATCAGGGGAAAGACGCGGCGCAGAGCCAGCTCAGTCATAGTGGGGTTGGGTGGCACCTCATCGATGAAGATAATGCCATAGCGTACAAGGGACTCCACCAGAGACTTGACCACCGCATCGCTGGACACCAGTTGGGGCAGCGAGAAGCGTAGGTTTCGCTCGTTCTGCGTGATAATGCTGCGGCTCCAGGCCGTCGGGGAAGTGTACTTTGACCGCCGGCCTATCAACTGATCCAGCTGAGAATCAAAGATAAAGTCCAGGTCGTAACTGGACCGATGGCCATCGCTCCCTGAGAGTTTATGAGATGAAATGAGTGAATTTTACATATCTAGCTGTCATCGTCTTACACTGAACTAGTAATTGATTTCCCTCATACTTCGTACTCAGAGATGTGATATCATCTGGCAGATCTAGGAGATCGTAGCGCCGTTGATTTGTGTCCAAATTCAAGCAATCTCCACATCTGCAATGATCACGCAGCCAAAACTCATTGATCTGCAGACTCTTGCCGGTTTTGGGATGCTTTAAATTCATGTTTTTCCACTCAGCGAACAACTCACTTATTGAACAAGTGAAAGCGAACTAATAATCTGAATAAAGATTAGTTATAGTCGTGGATTTGAAATTCCATTAGCATCTTATCAGCAAGAGAGGGAGCGTCTTTTGCTCTCAGTTTTACATGAGATAAGAAATTATTTACTCTTCGAATTAAATCAAAACTTATTATAAGACAAATAAATATTACATTTTCTTCCACTAATTTGTGGTTTTATTATTTATTTCTTAATTTATTTATTTATTTTGTACTTCCCAAATACAGTTAGTCATTTCCAAAACCTATCCCATCGCCGTAGGCGTCTTTCTAAAATTCAAATCGCCTCTCAATAGTCTCTAGAGATTTTTCAACCATTTCGGAGCTGGATAACCCTTTAAAAATCCAGCTAAAATGAAAGCCTTCAAGACTTCTTGGGCCGACGAGGTCGAGGCGGACTATGTGGACGGACTGCCGCCTTCTAGTGAGTACATTGAGGGCGACTACAAGTACGTGACCGAGTACAAGTTCAACGATGACGGCAAAAAGGTCAAGGTAGTGCGCACCTTCAAGATAGAAAAGCAGGTGGTGCCCAAGGCAGTGGCCCGTCGTCGCAGCTGGGTAAAGTTCGGGGACTCGCGCCTGGACAAGCCAGGACCCAACTCACAGACGACCATGGCCTCCGAGGAGATCTTCATGCTTTTTACGGGCTCCAAGGAGTTCGAGCAGACGCACGAGACCCAGATCGAGGCTGGCAAGAATATAGCCAAGTGCCGTATTTGCAATGGCGAGCACTGGAGCGTCAACTGTCCCTACAAGGGCACCGCCATGGACAGGAAGACCCAGATGGAGAACAAGGCCAATGCAGCGGCCGCTGCTGCTGTGAGTGATCCCAACAAGTCGGGCAAGTATGTGCCGCCCTTTATGAAGGAGGGTGGCGGCGGCGGCAAGTCCTGGGCTCGCGAACGTGATGAATCCTCGGCCGTGCGCATCTCCAATCTGTCCGAGTCCATGACCGAGGCCGATCTTGAGGAGCTGGTGAAGAAAATCGGGCCGCACACCAAGATGTACCTGGCCCGCGAGAAGAACTCGGGCCTGTGCAAGGGCTTTGCCTACGTGCACTTTAAGTTCCGCCAGGATGCAGCCGCAGCCATTGAAATCCTCAACGGTCATGGCTACGACCACTTGATCCTCTGCGTCGAGTGGTCCAAGCCGCAGGCATCCTAAAGGATTTTCCCCTTTATACCCTTTATATTCTTAACTTGAATTCGAGAACGGAAATGAGCTGCGGTCGCAAAAGAAATCGAAATAAAATACAACATACAGTCTGGGAAAAATATGTCTTAAATCGGTTTAAAATAAATTACTTAAAATCACTAAATACAAATAAAACATCTATATAGCTAAAAGTAAAAATCCTTTCAAAATTATAGTACCCTTTTCAGTTCCAGATTGAACCCTATTTTTTCTTCATGTGCCGAAACGAAGGAGAGAGCTTGCTTTGGGCAAAACTAAATCCGTTAATGCTTCGTTTTAAATGCGATTTTTTCGCCGTGTTCCTTCACAACCGCGCAAAGGTGAAAGCCACTTAAATGGAAGCCAACGCAGTGCCGGATGATGATGACGGGCTGGCGGTACGGAGCTGAGAAATGCCACAGGACGCTGGCTGGACTGAATGAACATTAATAATTAAATATAAGAGCGGACTTATGCGCACGATACAGGACAGGAAACTACGAGACCATGACCAAGGTCCTGGAGTGAGTGAGTGGAGCGGATGGAATAGTGGTCGCGGAATAGAGCCGACTCCCGGAGTCCCGGCTTAGATACACACTCACAATTTGAATGAGGGGCGGATCAAAGTCGAGGCACAAAAGAAATTTATTCCCATTGTTGTTGCTGTCGCGGTGGGCGGAGGAGCAGTGAAGCACCCGGCACCGGCTAAAGCCGAGTCTAAAACAAATTACTGAATAATTTATAAATTAACTTTTTCTGCGGCCCGCTCTTTGTTTGGGAATGAATTGGTAGGTGAATCAAGTGGGTGGCTTTGGCCAGGCCAGTCTGGATTCCCGCCCGGATAAGGTGTACGCCGCTAGGCACGCGTTTCTTTTTCATTTTGCACCTTCGGGTCATGTGCGCTCTCAACACACACACAAACAATCAAGAAAGTTCAAGTTGAACGTTAAGAATACAGATTACCTGCGATTCTTAGTAACCTTTTAGCCTAGTTTTGAACGAAAACTTGTTGGGTATACTTTTGATTTCACTTGCTTATAAAAAAAAATATGTTTTAGGGTTACTTTATTTTAATTATTTTAAAAATGTGACTAAAGGGAAAGTCATTTTAGAAAAATACAGTAAACTAGCTCTATAGAAGACTCAGACTAGAATCAGCATTTATATCTAAATACGTGATGTATATTGTCACACTTTCTTTTACTAGGTTTATGCAAGGACAAATTCATGAATTTATGACAAGAATTCAATACATAAATTCTGCAAATAAAGTAAGCAGAGTAGTAAAGTATTCAGCTTTTAATAAGCTAAAATCACTTATACGCACAGTATGCCGGAATGTAGCGTCATCATCCCATAAACAAATATCACTCATACGCACAGTTGGCCGGTGTAAAGCATATCCCCGGCATTCTCTATACCCTTACAGGGTATTGCAAAAAACAGGCCATCGACTTGCCCGGCATCGCAGTTCTCTGGGGCATTTGAATATTCAAATGCCTTTTGCTTGCGATCCCGCCCTCTGGCTGCCTTGCCGCCACGCCGCCTCGCTCTCTGTTGCGCTTTAAGTGTACACTGTTATTTACCGTTTTATTGCACGCGCAGCCCGCTCACGGAACACACACAAAAATTGTTGAAATAATTACACAGTTGTCGAAGCAACCCACACAGAGTAAATAAAGGCAAAGGGAAAATATAAAAACAGCGGAAATTAATTCTCAAATGACCAAAACTTGCGCATAATCAGCGCTCAGCGCCGCAAGTCCTTGAGAGCTCTGCAAACACTTGATACACAAAAACCATAGATAGATTGTGTAAACATTCCATCAGGGCGCTCGGAAAAAGTATCGATTTGATTTGAATGGTCTTCTTTTTTTGTTTATATACTTATTTATTTATTTACCTGGTATGGGCCCGCAGACGCGCGGTATAATTTCCAATATGGCCGAACATGACGGATCCTCGAAGCAGAGCTGTCGTGCCAGAATGCAATTCAATATGGCCACGACGCCCTTTATGGTGGAACCTAAAATGACAAACAAGTTTTAGAAAATTAAATAGGATTAAATATGTTGCTTAAAAATTAACTGAAAAAGTGGTTTTTAGAGTATATTTTGAACCCTTGGACATTTCGAAACCTTCACTTCTGAAGTACATATACAAGGCTTAAAATGTTCAATAAAAATACTGTACCACTTTGAAGGGTATTCTTATTTTAGTCAGAAGCTTGCAAACGAGCAAGTGAGCCATATTCTACTTTAAATCATATATATTCTTAATCAGCATCAACAACATTTCAGAATTACAAAATTTTTTACATAAGATCCAGCAGATTCGACGAATGGAGGCCAGGGAATAGAGATTTAGAAACAGACCAATAATCAGCTTGACCTCTAAGAACTGAAGGACCATTGGAGAAGCACTTTACAGGAAGCTGAATGTGCGACATCGATCTGTTGAATGAATCAGAGAACGAGGAGAGACTGGAGATTGTTTAATCATCTTTAACCATACGATCTAGGGAAAATGATAGCCCGCTTTGGGACTGGACAAGGATCACAATGGCTTTGCTGAGCAAGACGGAGATGTATGCTTATGACTCTGGCCTCCTGATAACCCTCTTCCTAGATTCCCTGATTTCAAGGATCAGATTATCGACCTGGGCAAGACAAGGGATCCGCTGCAAATAACCTCTAAGAAAATTAGATCAGATATACTCTTGAGCAAACACTTCCTTTAGTCGCGGATATCCCAAGCTCATTCTCTCTCTATTGACCACAGTCGGCAAGGCGACACTGTGGTCTCCTTGCTAATTGAATTTCATAAATTCGTGGCCAACAAGAACCCTGAGAGTGCGACGTATATTAAATATCCGAATTCCAACGGGCAACTACAGGCAGCGGCGAGACACTCGTGCGGTGACAACATTAAGCCAAATTTAATTAAAACCCCGGTCCTGGCTCCCTTCGAACTGTATATATATTTTTTAATGACCCTGCCGCTGTCTGCCAGCGTATAAAGTTGCTCAAATATTTCGGATAATTTGTAATTGTCCTTATATGTTCGTAATCGCAAATTGCTCATAAATATTAATGGTGGTGTTTTAATTATGTTAATTCACGGCGAACAGTTTAAAGCATTTACAATCATCATTTGTATCGAAAATCCAACACGAAAGCACACACAGTTTTACAGCTGTGTTTATATCTAGCTGTTAGTTTTTATCATAATTTTATGTTCTACAAGGGGGCCACGGGACGAAGCATAGCTGATGGTTTATAAAACATTCATTTCAATTTCATTTCATTACGTAAAATAAACCAAGTCATCCGGGCTGCTGCTGTCTATCTAAGCTACTGGCCACTGGTCGTGGCCCATCCGTCCTCCTCCGCGAACCCTCCTTCATCCGCCGGATGCCCTGTAAAAGTTGTAGTTACCCGCCATCCACTGCCCTCCCTTGCTCATTAACGAAATGACCGTTTGCATATTGCAAGTGGGGGGTGGGTGGCGATTCCGGAGCCGGAATAACAAAAGAAGTGCCTTCAAAAATTCACGAATTGCATGCGGACGCAGCTGAACTTACTCCAGGAAGTGGCCTACTGCCAGGACTGCCGTCAGGAGGAAAAGTAAGTGGAGGGCAGTGGCAACAATTGCATGGCCTGGCCAAAGTTTCGTGGCTCTGACGGTCGAATTGTTTGCGGAAATACAAATAAACAAAAGTCCGTCGGGGGGGACCTGCAACCCAGACTGGACTTTAAAGTGTTTTATGGTTATTGGGTGCTTAGAATTGCATTGAGATATGCGGCGCGCGTCTGGCCCCGATGACAGCCAAGAAATTATCAGCGACTGGGAATGGATTCGGGAATGGGAATAGCCGCAAATTGCCAACAGAGCGACAAGGCCCCCCGCGACCCATTTGGAATCACTTAAAACACACAAATCAAGCAAAAGTTGAAAACACAATAACAATTGTTTTGGGACACACCATAAATTTGCATGCCAAGAAGAGTAATGCTCCCGGCCACATAGCAAAAACAAAAAAAAAAAAAAGAGAGCGAAATAGGCACATAAATATGCGACCGACCGGCTTCTCTGTTACTACTCCGCCTCCGCCAAGTCCTCGTCCAAATACGAATCCTCCGAAAACTCCACACCGACGACAACCAGAACAATTCGTTTGTGTCACAATCAGATTCGGCACAGGCACAAAAATGTTCGCTTTTCGCGTTTCGCGCTCGCCATGTTTCATGAATTATTTCCCCCGAAAACCCCCAAAAAGTTTTCGACCAAAAACTTTGACTGCAAAAAGGAGGCCAGAAAAAAAAGAGGCAAGACATTGACTGGGAACTGGCCAGTGTTGCAGGCCAACTCCCACAGCTCCTCAGCGATGCACTTTCACAAAAATATCACTCAAATTTAGTTTGAGAAACTTGTAAATATTTTCCTAAAAGTGTGTGAAATTTATGTTGATGCTAACAACCTTTGAATTTTTTATAATTAGAACTTAAAAAAACTATATTTTGGTAACTTTAAACTTGAATAAATATATTTTTCTTTGTGTGCCTTGTTTGCGTTGATTCGTGCGGCGAACATTTCGATTACCATTTTCCCTGGTGGCATTGCAGGAGGGCGAGGGATTGAGCTGGCGGTGGAGGTGCAGGGGATTCCTTTAGTGTTTCGCATTTTCTGCAACTTCGCTGAAGCGCCTGCCCTTTGCTCTCCAGCACCAGCTACTCCTCCTGCTCCTGCTCCTACCCCCCAGCTCCTGCTCCTGCCTTCTGCTGGGCCTGCCCCTGCTGCTGTTGCTGCTTAAATTTCAATTGTGTGCCAGGGGCGCTGGCCCGACGCTGGAGCACTCTGGTGCAGGCTTTAATAAATTATGGCCCACGTTGGGGGTGGCGCGCTCTCGTCGAGGAGAGTTTGCTGGCTGGCCCCTGTATGCCACTTGGAAAAAGTTAATACAACAAATGCGCTACAGCCAACAGCAGTAGCAACGGCAGTAGCACTGGCAGTAGCAGTAGCGGCAACAACAATTGCAATAACAATGACCGCATTACGAGGCCGCGAATCGTTGCCTGAAACGCCAAGTCGGTGGCAGTGGCAACATCAACAACATGGCCGAGAAATGGCAGCTTTACAACTTCCGGCAAGCAAGGACTACCAGCGACTATGGTCCGGGTCCCTCGTTCTTCCCTGCCGCATTTTTACTTTTTTTTCTCGTATTTTTCGCAGCCCTACTGTTGCTCCATCGTCGGCCATCCTTATGTCATTCGGGATTATTTTGTGGGTTAAAAACTAATTTTCGGTCATGAAGTGGATTTCGCAGTGTGTGCATGTTGCCGACATTCGGCGGCCCATAAATATGCAGCAGTGGCAACGGCATACAATTTGCATGGGAAAGCGTGTAAAACATTGATTTCCCAACTCCAACTGGATCAGTGTGAGCCGGGGATTATCCGGAATAACGCGCTTCCAGGGCGGAGCTGTTAAGGCAAATGTCAACGGTCGAAAGTGCGTGACCAAATTATTTCATTTCATTTTATTTAATTTATGGTCCTGCCCCGAGTGCAAGTCCTTGTCGCCTCGCCTGGCATTTAAATTTAACTACAGTCCAGACAATGCCAACAGAGCTCCGCAACAGTAGCGGCAACATCACCAACATCACCAGCAGCAGCGGCAGCAACATAAAATGTCGCCTGCGGCCATTTTCATGGGCAACCAACCGAATTGGGTGTTGAAGCTGGTGTTGGCCTTAACCAAAACAACGAAAACAACAGCAGAAAAAGAAAACAAGCAGAAACAGGTTGGTTAGAGTAACGACTTAAGGATACCCAGTTATCGTTTCTAAAATATAAATTGGATATTAAGGGTTTCAAAAAAGGAAAGGAAATAGAACTTCCTCTGAATCTTTAAATAAATAATCAAAAAAAGCTACAATAGAATAGAAATAGAATGGGGGGCTCATTTGATTGCAATCCCATGGACCCACGACCTCTACAGGGTACCAAAAATCTGTCATTCGAGGGGAGAGAGAGACGGAGTAACGACAGTGCTGCTGGGGATTATGGTCAATTATGTGTAAATACAATTATTGTTATTGTTGTCAACGTTTCACGGCGGTATTGGCGCCGTAGTTGTTATTGCCATTGTCAATGTTGTTTCCCATTTTTTTTTTCATAATTGTAGTTACCGCTGTGCAATGCATAAAATTTGTTATTTTCATGATCGATTCATTAAAATGGCCCCAGTTTAAAACAGATGCTATGGAGTGAGTTTTCCTTCCACAAGGACACCTCTCTTAACTGTCGCTCCTTCTGTCTGCCTGACATTGTTTAGTTGCTCTGCACGTTTCCCGTGATTTAAGGAGGAAGGAAAAAGGGAAAAGAAATCAGGAAACAATAAAAGAAGTGTAAGTACAAGTAAAGCAGCATTTGCAGAGACGCTGCAGTAAATGCCGTGATATCCCTTGGTGGTCCTTTCAATTCTGGCTTAGTCACGTCACCAGCGGAGGAGCACTTACCCCAGGTTGGGGGACTTGAATTGGTTAGAAGGGATTCTCCTTCAACCTCGAAGATTTCCATTTTTTATTTATTTATAAAATAAGCAATAAGCTTAGAGGAGTGACTTACAAGAAAATACTCAGCGTAATTAGGAAAATTTCAAATACAACACCTGAAGTAGGGTAAATATTCGTAAGTCAATCCTTAACCAGACTTTAATCTCAAATTTACTCAAGATACTTCCTTACAGCAACTGAATTATTCACAACCCCCCTCAATACAATACCGATGAAAGCTATTAGTAAACATCATAAGCTTGTTAACTTCAGGACTCAAGGGACTTCGGTCTCCAAATTTATTCCACTTGCTAAGTGTTATTCAGCTGCCTCTGCTGGCGGCATTATCAGGAAAAACCAAAACAAAATAAACACATCAATAAACAGAGTTGACAAAGATTTGATTGCATTATTATAAAACAATTTGCATTCGATAAAAGTCAAAAGCAGCAGGCGGCCAAAGTCATAAA